GTCATTAAAAGGAGCAGAGTATAAAAAATATTGTTAAGCCAAATCTAATTATTTATTATAGTTCATGATCAGAATAAGTAAAAATGGTAGTTCCATGCTTTGCATTGAATTTTATTTATTTCTGTGCATAAACAAAATATCAATATATATATGAATACCAATTAAAAACAGCTCAATAAATCTGTTGAGCTTTTTCTAAAATAGATATCAACTAATGGTGGATTTTTAGAGCCGGCGTATTATCGGTAGTTCGGAGCAGAAAACGCCCATTCATGATAAATCAGCCAATACCCCTCATTAACAAATATTCAACATGATTATAACAAAAAACAACTTATTAAAACTATTAAATGCAAGAAAATATATATATATATATAGATAGATAGATAGATAGATAGATAGATAGATAGATAGATAGATAGATAGATAGATAGATAGATAGATAGATAGATAGATAGATAGATAGATAGATAGATAGATAGATAGATAGAGATAGATAGATAGATAGATAGATAGATAGATAGATAGATAGATAGATAGATAGATATAGATAGATAGATAGATAGATAGATAGATAGATAGATAGATAGATATAGATAGATATAGATCATATATAATGATCAAAAAGTATCCGACTTTTGGTTTTATTGGTCAAACGAACACAGCTATGGGGGCGGGACTTGCTGTGTGGTTGGGAGCATGACTACTGCGCATGCTCATTTTTTTCTACAGCTCCAATACAAGTCAGTCGGCGTCAGGCCATTCATGATTGAACAGGTGCAAGTGAGTGTCGTCGGATTTTATTTTCTTTAAAATGTCAGAAAAAGTCGAACAGCGTTATTGCATAAAATTTTGTTTTAATCTTGGTGATTCGCAAGTGGAAACAATTCGCAAGATTAAAAAAGTGTTTTGGAAATGAAGCGATGGGCACCACACAGATAAAGGAGTGGTACAACCGCTTCAAAGAGGGCCGCTTGTCAGTTGAAAGTGAACCACGCTCAGGGAGGCCCTCAACATCGAAAAACGATGCCATCATTGATCAAGTGAGGAACCTGGTGATGCAGAACCGCCGAATCACGATCAGAGAACTTGTAGACGAGGTGAATATTAGTTTTGGTTCCATTCAATCAATTTTTGCTGTTCGACTTTTTCTGACATTTTAAAGAAAATAAAATCCGACGACACTCACTTGCACCTGTTCAATCATGAATGGCCTGACGCTGACTGACTTGTATTGGAGCTGTAGAAAAAATGAGCATGCGCAGTAGTCATGCTCCCAACCACACAGCAAGTCCCGCCCCCATAGCTGTGTTCGTTTGACCAATAAAACCAAAAGTCGGATACTTTTTGATCCTACCTCGTATGCCAAACGTCATTGTCAGAGTAATCCATGTCCATATGAATTGTTTAAATTGATAATGCTGAGTTCCGAGATGTAATAAAGGTCGAATTCGTTTGACAACACACTTGATTATGAAATCTACGGCCGTGCCAAATATAAATCGGGCATCTTAGTAGAGATATGTCCATGACATGCGTTTTTGAAGGTGCTTTATGGTTTTAAGTCCAGTCCGTAAAGAAGAATAGGCTTAATATTTTTTTACGTTTAGAGGAATAAACTCTTTTAAGATGCCAAGCAGGGCAATTTACATGAAATGCTTTGTTGTAAAGCAGTCGATAGTCTTTGCATGGAACATTTTAAAAAGTATGTACTACCCAACGATATTTGGTTCTGAGCTGTAAAGCTTTTTACTCATATTTTCTTGAAATCGAGTTCAAAATGTTTTTGTTTTGCCTCAATAATGATGCTGTATTATTGAAGTTGGATAATATCTGTATGCGACAGATGTTCATTACATATATTTCAATTAAAGTAAAAGTAGATATTAAATATTCATATTCGAGAATACATGTTTTATACAAAGGCCTTCAAATAGTGAGGAAAAGTTGTTTCATTAAATACTATTATTATAGATTTTATCCAAAGAAACGATGGAGAACTATCTTCCGAAACATGCAATATACGGACTCAAAATCAAAATGGCTTAGATTTGGATTAGCGACATCCCGCCTATTTACCAACAAGTTAAAATACAAAGAAGAAGAAAGGACCTTATTGTGCAAGCACCTCCGAATCATCATTCCACCTTTTTACGAATGTCAAAAAATAAACAACATTAGACAACATGTGGAGGACAAAATCCAAATACTTACGGTATTTCCGTATCCAAGTCTGAATGGCTTGTGGTAATATGCCCATAATCAGAGGACCATTACAAAATATCATCTCATGCACAATATCCTGGATCTATGGAGCAAGGCAAACGGGGATTCTCCCTTCACTTAGGGTCTTCTCAGGGATGGTGAAACCGAATGATGGAGGTGATGGATGGGTTGACCCTTGACCACGAGCATAACCCGAAGCCGATATTTTTTACCCTATCGGGGTAGATCTTTTTATGATTTCTTACAAATCATGTTTTTAATAACGCTCTGTAGTTTAATATTTACCTCTCATTATTGCTCTTAGTTTGCGTCAACTATTTTAGTTATTGTAAATCATCCCTTTTAAACTCTCCATAAAAAACCACATCAGCAACATCAGAAGACGACGCAGGTTTTAAATTGGAACAATTCTAGTTGATTCGAACCGATTAATATTTTCAAAATGTAAAGTATATGCGTATAGAAAATCTGAAATATAGAAATTAGTTAATTAAAAAAAGGAACGATGGAAAATGGAATTTTTCGAACAAAAAAACATACCATAAAGTAATTGATCTATGTATTTGAGATGGGCGGTATGCCGGCATTCTTTGTTCCTTTTAATAGTTATTGATGTCATCTGTGTACTTTCTATTTGTCGTTGTTTTCTTTTTCCTTATCTTTTTGTTTTTGCACATTTCCTTTTCCTTATGATTTCATCCTGAAGGCATGTGGCCTTCGCATCTTTAATTATATTAATTATAAATTTATAATATGGATAGCGGTTCATTAAACTTTCCGTCCAATTAATGGAACCCCGGGTCGCCTCACAGGACGACACAGCCATGTTCAATAATTATACACTTTTTTACATATATGACATAGAGTATTATGATCCAATGTTAGGATTTTAAGAGTCGTGACCACATTTAAAAAAAATATTTTTTTGGAATCATTGAAATGGTCTTCTCCTTTATGGAGTCAAAGGACAGAAATAATTGCCTTATTTCTTTCGAAGCCGTAGATATATAGAAAGAAAATAAAGTTAAGAAAAATATATATTGTAATTAATATGATACATTCTTATTACGGCTATGAAATATTTACTTTGATAAGGACTTCTGGAGGTTGAGAAATGTAAGAATGCATCTCATTAGTTAAATCATTAATATTCCAAGGTTGTCGGGTCGCAGGCCCGGCAGCAGGCCAGGCTTTTGGGGGGCCCGACAGTTGTTATGGGGGGGGGGCACAGTTGGTACATTCATAAAAAATCGGGCCCACGTCACTCAGTGGATTGGCGGGCCTACGTCACTCGGTGGGCGGGCCTAGCCCCCCCTCAGGCCCGCCCATCCCGCCGGGCCTATCGGGTCGTAATTTTTCTTTAAGAAGGCCCTTTTCCCTCCTGTTTGGATCGATCCACCGTTGACCTAAAGTCGAAAAAAATAGGGCAAACTGGAGACTATTCTATTTTACAAATGTACCGTTCCTCAATTTTGAGGACATGTTCGCAATGAACAATACTAAGGCAACGATAACAATAAGAAGTTGACCTAGGCTTTAATTAATTTTCTTTACTACCAATCTTTTGCTATCGACATATAACTAGCATGCAATCGACCAGTTAATCACGATTGACTGGTTGAGCAATCCAGACAATTTTATTTTTTTAGCTACAAATCCATAGAGTGTAAAAAAAATAACAATACACTAGAAAGTAAGAGATTAAAAACACAATCTGAAGACAGTTACCTATAAAAAAACATAAATGAACATTATTATTCAAAATGACTGACAATTTACTATCTGATTTATTTAATATGTATTACTAAGATATATAACTTATATGATTCTAGGGCAATCACCCCCCAGACAATTACCCCCCGGACTAGCACCCCCCGACAATCACCCCCTGGACTAGCACCCCCGTGCCAATCACCCCCGGACATTTACCCCCCGTTAGTAATATTTATTATCTCTTAAAGTCCACATATGAAGTTAACTATGTTTCTAGTTATTAACAAAGATGACGTCACTGGTTAGTACGCAGTCCCAGTTCTTTAGAATTGGAATTTGTATGAATTAAACGTGCATAAATTTGCAAATTTTGTGTCTTAGACCTTATATCTAGGCTATTTATGTACAACTAGACAATCATACAGTTTGTAACCTATCAACTCAAGATATCTTATTTATCCCATATAGGTCCTAATCTATTTTCTAAGATTTCATCAAGGAACCACTTGTCCTAAATCGAAAACTCATCCACTCAAATAAGTTGACATATAAATTTTATTCTCAATCTATTATATTCATTTCTTCACACCCGAAAACGTGTTTCTGTGACTTTTTTTAGATAACCAAGTCCCCATTAGTCTTCACAAGCAGCGGAAAAGTAGATCAAGAAAGTGGTTCACCAGTGACGTCATATTTGTTAATAGCTGGGAAAACATAGTAAACTTCATAAGTGGACTTTAAGAGATAAGAAATATTACTAACGGGGGGTAAATGTCCGGGGGTGATTGGCACGGGGGGTGCTAGTCCAGGGGGTGATTGTCGGGGGGTGCTAGTCCGGGGGGTGATTGTCTGGGGGGTGCTAGTCCTGTTACGAACTTATATATACAGGCCCGGCAGCAGGCCCAGGCTGTTGGGGGGGCCCTACAGTTGTTATGGGGGACAAAGCTGGCACATTCATTAAAAATCGGACCCACGTCACTCAGTGGTTGGGCGGGCCTACGTCACTCGGTGGGCGGGCCTGCCCCCCCCCAGGCCCGCCCATCCGCCAGCCCTGTATATATACATCATTGGTTCAGTGGTAGAATGCTCGCCTGCCTTGCGGGTGGCCCGATTCGATTCCCGGGCGATACATTTTTATTTGTCAAGCTGCTTCTCGCCAATACACAAATAGTTGGAATTAACTATGTCTACTATATAATTGTTATATTTATGAGTACCGTATTTAGACATTTATAATTCTGGTCTGCTTCCATTTATTTAAAAGCCCTAAAAAAGTGACGCACCCCGTATAGTGACGTCATATTTCCCTTCAGCGTCCGTTCCCGCATAAATTCTTCTGATATCGAATATCAATTAGTAAAAGGCATTGAGGGAGGGACTGACTACAAATGGCCAACTAGACTACTCATAAAATATGACATTAGTACTGAATATTCATTAATGCCATGCCCTATTTCATGCCATAGCTTAGTTGTACATTCGTAATTCTCCAAAGCTGCTTTCTACATGGTCAATACCTTTATTGAATAGATATGAGGCACCGTATCACCTTATAATTACGATAAATTACGGTAATCGTCGTATTTATTATTATTAAAATAGAAAATGATAAAGAAATCAACTTTAAAATTGATAATCGCTTTGGGAAAAAGACAGAATATGGGGTTGGAAATAGCGTATAATACCAGGAGTTATACTCATTATTAACTGACTCCATTTAGGAATGTTTTATCCTAAGAGTAATCTTATTTTTGACATTTTTATTATATTTCCAAAGCACTCAAAAAGTTGATTGCATAAAATCGTCTAACAGAGATCAAAACCTGGGGCTCAGCTGAGTCAATTTCAATTTTTTTTGGAAGACCTTATTGTGTAATGGTATTCTTACTGCAGGATCAGTTATGACAGAAATAACAAATTTTTGATTATGATACTAAAGATAGTAAAATGAGGGTTTCAACGCCTAAATTTGAGTTTTAGACTTCCCTGTTCTAGAAGGAGTTTATGTTTTTTATGATTTAATTGGGTACTAACTCATTTTATTCTGTTCGTAAAACATATACCATATCTTGATTAGGAGGCATCTGAATGAAATAATATTCATAGAAGGATTCAAATAGTTTGGGCATTAACCATTTTTCTACGTCATTCTTTCTTTGATAGATTTATGAGAGTTAAATATATCAAGAGGAATCCGAGAAATATCTATAAACAAATTATTTTTTTCCTTGACGATTTAGGCTGGATGATTGCCCCAAGTTAAATTTATTATATCGTTAACTGATGTATCAGAGATAAATATGTCAACCAAATTAAATTTTTTTAACGAGAGATGTAGCGGTGCGGACGAATGTCCACCACTACAAGTCATTCTGACCTTTTATATAGTTCCGTCCGAGATCAATATGCTAATTAATCAGGTGACATCGATAGACCTCTATAGACGATTAGATATCTCCAAATGGATGTGGACAACTGCCCGACAATCCAAGTCATTTTGACATTAATTGACTCTCATATTTGGAGACTAAGTCTTATTTGATTCTACTAAAAGATAGAATTATGAAGATAAAGATTCATAGATACATTTCCTATAATATATATATAAAAGAAATTAACCATTTTTTATGTGACAAAATATTTATAACATTTGCATGAAATATTCTTGTTTATGAATTCATTTATTAAATCTCATCCTGATTAAAGGGTTAAATAATTTAATTTAGTGCCTGATCAATAAAAAATTATCTCATTATGCTCAATGTATACTTATTGCACAATGTCTGTGGTTTATTATTTTTTGGTCATGTTTGTTGTTTAGCTCCTAGATCAGCCCCACTTCACCGGAACTTAATTCGGTATCAGGTTTGGTCATGTTATTATCTTTGTAATACAATAAAAGTATATAAAGAGCGTACACTTGGTCATGTTATTAGTGTACGCTCTTTATTATTCTTTTATTGTATTACGAAGATAGAAAACTTATAATCGAAAAAATAGAAATATAATTTATAAAACAATAATTTGTCAAATTTAATAAAAATTTAGATAAGTCATAAGATCAGTTAACAATTTAAAGACACTAGCATATTTTGTTTCTTTTTGGTTTGTACAAGTGTCTTGTTGTGTTGGATCCGGTGAGCCTATAGTTATATATAATTGAAGTCCTAATAATTGAAAAGCCATTAAGCGTTTCCCTTTTTTTCAATTTAATTTTCCCCATCAGTTTATATGATGAAATACAATGCATATACTCTGCATTTTGCTTTGGGGTTAACCATAAAACTAAATTATATTCCATAATACATCCTACAAATGAAAATTAATTTTCATTACTTAGCATTGCAAAATATAAATAATAGTTAATTTTCTCAAATACACGGGTCAGCCAGTAGATGAGTTGCATCGATGATCAATTTCTTCTAAATAATGTTCAATTGAATGAATTGATAGCTAATGATTGATGATTGATCTAATAATTACGACCCCCTGACTACGCTCTCTAAACTTGTATCAGTACATTTAAACTTTTTCACAAGCAATGTCTTGACCAGGCTTTTTATAAATTCAATTTTTCTTCAATTCTAAGCATTTAATCATAATATATTAATATAATGCTGCATTAAGAAGTTAGATGGTTGGGTACTTTATTATTCTTATCCTTTTATAGTTTTGCATATCTATATCTTATAAAGATTAGAATTATAAATTATCTAACGAAACTAATAATTATTTTGCTCATGCAACTTTTTCACCTTAAAGAACAATAGTTTGCAATACACTGTACTAAATATTCACCTAACATACAGGGGACCCTCAAAAAAACTCAAGGGCCCTTTGTACATTTTTTCCGTAACTCCTTTATTGTTTAGATAATATATATAAATTATATAAAAACATAAAATATAAGAAATATAAACATTATAGTTTATAATAATAAAAACCTAAACAAGAGGTATATCAATAAAAATATCATAGGGTAACTATTTAAAATATTTCATAATTTTTTCATTATTTTGAAATACTCTTTGAATTTGAAGGATAAAATATGGGTCGGAGGGGACCTTGAGAGTGAGGGTGACGTATCGGGCGGCAGCAGAGAGCATCACAGACCGAAAATAGACGGTTTTATAATTATTTTTTTGTCAAACAACTCGCTATGTAAGCTTTGGAGTTTGAAAGAGCAACTTCTATTGCCTGACTTTTAGGGGAATTGTGTCCTTTTTTCTTTAAGAGGCCAAATATATCGTTGCTTTGGTATTTTTGTCGTCATCGGTCTTAAATCCCTTCACGTTGTATGTCAGAAACTTTGTTAGATTGTGACAAACGGGCAATCAACAAATGCATGATCAACGTCGTTGTTACAGCTCGCCACAATTAAGGCAATGGAAATCGAAGGATATACAACCAGCAAATATCTGCAACAGAGCCGTGAGCTTTTTCCCGTCATAAATTTTATTTTTGTACATTGACAAACATATCAGAATCAACAACCGTGAGTACAACAAAATATCAGTGGATACACCATGTTATATTAGACCATTACCTTTTATGCGTCAATTCAAATATAAAAAGGTGCCATTCATCGACATATCATGCTTTATTTTTAAAACTCTTACATTACGATAAAATTATAAAGAAAAAACTTATAAAAAGATATTGAATGGTGTAATATTATTAATCTAAATAAGATTTCTTTTTAATTAGCTACATTACATTATTATTGTTTGTATGTACTATTGTAATCGGCAATAAATTTCTAACTACATATATTATATTTTAAATAATAATAAGATCTGATGCTAAAAAAGTCAATAGAAAATAATAAGATTCTTTATAGGAAGAAATAAAATACAAATCAAACTCTAAACAGTAAAATGAACAACTTATCACACTAATATAGTAAAAACCAAGAAATGAAGAGATGAAATTTATTTAATATTAAGCTTTGCTGACCCTTTTAAGATGTATTCGACAACGGAGAACCTCAATACAGTCCAAGCCACTCTGTACCTCCGAAAAAGGTCATTTCGAAAAAGAAATAAGGAGGAGCTTAATATAAAAATTACAATGAATGTCTTAATGTATACCTAGTTCATTCGTAAGAGGCAAAGGTAGATATATATCAATATTTAGTTTCTTGCTTTAGTTGAATAGAAAATATATGTACATGCTTTTACACAACGGTTTGTCGACTCTGTGGAGAACAAGATGAGGTCCCTATCCACCTTATCTACGCTTGCCCCTAACGAGAATAGAAATAAACGAGTTGATCGAGGACATGAGGAGAACACTAACATTTCAAGGGACTTGTATTTAAAAAAATGAAAGAAAATCAAAAGAGATATACGCATATGTTAAATAAAAGTAAATATTCAAATATAATCATACAACAAGCCTAAATATTTTCTTTAAAATTTGAAGTCCGTAAAATAAAGTAAAACTACGAATACATGAAGGGAAATAAAGTCTAAAAAACGATATTTGAGAAGAACTCATTGTTTATGCGGAAAAAAATTGGGAGGCATTCACCAAGGAGCTACTTTATTTTTCTTTGGTGATTTAGGACTCCATTTTTTTTACTTTCAAAGTATTCAACGAATCCACATTGAAGCATGTGTATTTTGGACCTTAATTTACCATAGATATTCATTGTTATAATATTTAACTTTATTACACAGTCATACAATCTACCAAACAGATATGTATTTAGAATTTGAATTAGTTTAAACATGATGGTAGTATTACTGATATGCTTTTGAATGGCTATACGCCTTGGATTAGTACAGGGTGCGCCAGTAAAACTTACTTATTTGAATTATCAATAATAATAATAAATACTTCAGATATTGTTGTTTATTTTCTTCATTTTGGGAACAAAATATCCATATTTTTTCATGCAGTCTTGAAAATGGCATCGGATGCATGGCAGTCATCATTGCGCATACACTGATTAAGTTGCTCTTATTCTGTTATTTTTTATCGATTTTGAAGTGCCAGATCACCAGTGATTCTCTGAGAATCCCAAGACGCGCATTGTCTTGGCCCTCCTTTGCATTCGCTGTCCATAATTGGCCATGTTAATAACAGAAAAGTTTTCGATGGCCGTATTATTACCCCCATGATTCTTC